ACCTCACGCGGGGTCTTTGGGTGCACGCGGTTTTCACCTCAGTCAATTTGCTCACGTGTGGTCCCCCCACGTGATTCACAATTCTCCCGGCTTTATCTTTCAACTTTGGGCAGTCGTTCTTCCAATGTCCTTCTTCTTTGCAAAAGCGACATTGATTCCTACCAATATTTCTATGGCCACCTCTTGACTTCGATCTTGAGCGATCACCTGGACGACGGTTTGGACCACGGCCTCGAACTGCTAATGCATCTCCCGATGCCTTCTCGGAGGGCTCATCAACACTCTTCCTCAACTCATAATTCACCAACGCTGAGGTCACCTCCTTGTAACTAACAGCACTTCTTCCATTAATCATAGTTAAGACAAAAGTATCATAATCATCCTCGGGTAACGAACACAAAAGTAGCATCGCCTTGTCTTCATCCTCAACCATGATATCCACATTAGCCATGTCTGAAAGTAGCTTTGTGAAGTTATTAACATGCTCCCTAATGGAAACTCCCCTCTTCATCTTGAACTGGTAAAACCTCTTCTTCAAGTGAAGCCGATTCTCAATGCTCTTCGTCAGATACTTCTCATTGAGTGTTTCCCACATTCTCTTCGCCGACGTCTCGTTCATCACGTCATAAATAAGATCCGGCGTCAAGCATGACCGAATAACTCCACACGCCCTACTATTCATTTTCTTCCAAACCTTGTCCTCCATATCAGCGGGTTTCTCTTGTAACTCAAGAGTCTCCTCCAAATTTTGTGCATCCAAGGCGCCGTCGAACTTCGGAACATCAATCTTCATGTTATTGATGCTCAAACTATGTATCGTCTTCGTAAGAGACGATCCCGATGTGCTTGTTTCACCCATGTTGTCGATCTAATCTTCAAATAGGAATCCTTCAGCGAATCCTTCAAACAAGCTCCCAAGTCCAACCTGGCTCTGATACCACTTGTTGTGCGCAGCGGAAATTTCGGCAGCACCTCCGGTGCGCAAGGTGCACAACAAGAGATTAGATCACAACGGAATTCTCGTTTCTCAAAGGAAACAAGAACCGAAAGCCAGATATCTCATCAAAGTGAGATATCTGCTCTTCCTCTCGTCAGCTCTAAGACTGCGCGTCGAGGGAACCTACAAGCTATTACAAATCACGACAAGAACACAACTTTTACGTGGTTCGGCAAACTGCCTACGTCCACGGGGCAAGGAGGGGGGAGATCTACTAATAGAGGGAGAAATACAACTGGGGTTTACAATCTCACAATCTAAACCCTCTCAAAACAAACTCTCAAATCCCTCTTACAAATATTCTCTCAAAGGGGGAGACACAAAACCCAAGCACAACACAAATCAGCCTCCAGCACTTTTCTTCTGCAGCAGCCGCCAAAAGAAAAGCAAACAAATCAGCCGCTGCCCCCTGTACTTCTTCGTAGCCGCTCACTTTGACGCTCAAATTTGCAGCCGCAAAAAAACTCCTGCCTTTTCTTTTGCTGCCGTACAACAAGAACCCCTTAACTTGCACACATTTGCCCTAGGAAACAAATAATATATATAGCCTTGGTTTGTCGGGTGGGCCTGGGAATTCGGGTCGGTGTTCACGAGAACACCTCACGCGGGGTCTTTGGGTGCACGAGGTTTTCACCTCAGTCAATTTGCTCACGTGTGGTCCCCCCACGTGATTCACACATATTTCATTTTTGATTATCAAAATTCCTACTATTTATTTAGTTATTTGACTTGGTTTGCTAAACAATTACAGTTTAGCATGACTTATATATACCAAATAGTTTTGGTTGAGAGTTTTCTTGTTGGATTTATTAGATCCTTTTGTTTTGCTTTGAGCATTATCAGGGCGAAGATGAGTTCGATGTAAGAGATAGAGCAAGTTTACTTGGAGCTATAGATGGAGATAGAGATACTGAGCAGAGTTTAGATGGAGACTTTAAACCAGTTGATCATCCTCTCGAACCAGAGAAGGACGAGCCAATCACATGTCCAGCGCCTGATTGTTTCCTGTTGAAGGTGAGTTCAATTACCAGTCTGTTTTGACTTCAGCATCTTTGAAATACTGCACTTTGTAATTTTGATGTTAATCAATTTTCAAGTTTCATTAATCTATCTAGTAAATACATGAATTAATTTAATTTTTTTGAGAGTTTACATTCGTAGGGTCAAAACTGATTTATTCTGTAAGAATATGAGGAATTGAAAATATGTCAAACAGTTTTTTGTTGTTTTGAAGGCTACGGGCACTTTCAGTTGTTTATGGTTCAGTTTTAATTTCATAGGAAAAACTTAGACAGTCAGCTACTTTATTCTTCAACTCTAAAGATGAAAATCTCAGATGAACTCTCTACCGTTCACTTGTTTAGGAAAATACGAGTACCATAAAAATACGGCATAAAAGCTAATGTCTAATGTAGTTTCTTTTTTTTAATAGACTAATAATCTGTGTTATTCCAAAAGTAAAGTCTCCGCCAAAAATTGTAGACAATGAAACATAGATTGTTATATTGGTTTAATTGATGTAATGAATTCTTTTTCAGTCATGACACGGTTATTGTTCGAACTATTGTTTTCGTTTGGCTTGCTAAGTGTGTATATTTTATTAGCTAGCAAAGCTCTGTTCTGTATTTTCTGCATTGAATTGAATATATCTTATACTCTTTGTCTTGCAATTTTAATTAGAAGGATGAAGTTTTCTGGAAAAATGGAATAAATCCCTTATCAATCAAGGAAGGACAAGCCCTTGAACAGCCTTCACGAAGAGTAGAGAGCAAGAAACAGGGTTCTTTGAGACGAGATCACTTGAAGTCTGTATCATTCAGAAAGCCACGGAACGTCTTCCGAATTTTTCAAGAATGTAGAGAGTGTGAATTTTGAAAATGATCGATTATCTTTCATATGATAACATCAGATGTTACATGGAGATAGATTTCTGCAAATACGATAACAAGCCCTGAGAATGGTTGCAAGTTCCCATTTATTTAGAACCTTTTATCGAAGATTGAGTTTATATTAAGTTGTTTTATGTATTCATAACATTATTTATTTATTTATCGAATATTCATAAGATTTTGATTGTTAATCAATTGATTAGACTTTGCATGCACCTTATCAAATTATAACTGAAACAATTATACGCCCTTAAGTCTGTACTACCAATTCCAATTTTATCTTGCAGATTTGTTGCTAATTACAGCTTCTTTTGATACAGGAGATGCATCTCATTTCATTGTTATTCTTCATCATTTTTCTTTAATCCTGTACTTTCTTTTTCTTTAAATAAAGTTGGATAGTATTAATACTCACAACATAATGAAAGACAGGGTAATCGTAACTACGATCTATCATAAAAGAAGTTAATCTGAGCGTTTCCTTGAATCTACTTGCAGCTTAGAAAAAAAAATTTACCGAAGAGGGACAACAATCAACATAAAAAATGTTAACATTTGATAGTAAGAAAACGATTCGCAATCACGATTCATGATGACGACTCTCCATTTTCCAGGTCTACTTAAATTCCATCCTAAACTAAACATACAGTAAAATAAAAATGCAACCAAAATCAAAGAAACACAGTCCAGTCCAGTCCAGTTTCCTGACGGAGGAAAAATAGTTATCAATAAGCAAATATGAAAACTAGTTTCTAGGTTTGCTGAAGTTTCCCAGAAGATGTGTACACTCATGTTATCTTCTGAATTAGATATACAGTTCCAACAATTCATAGAAAGCCAATCAAGTTCCTGTCCAACTTAATTTCACTGTCACATTTCTCCTCTGGAAGCAGTGGGGGCAAATCAGTAAAGCCCATGCTTTCCCTTTATATTTAGGGATTTAGGAGCCCCAAATACCAAAGCTTAATTTTTTTGAACCACTAGTACATCCATCAGGACGAAAATCAGATAAGCACGTGATTAACAATTGGTACAAATCCCAAACGCCACTCATGAGTTGCTTTGCATTTATATAGCTGGGCGTTACGAGTGATTATATTCTCTCAAGATTTAGGATTCTCATGAGTTCCTTGTTCGGGTGGTTATCCTGTGCGTTACGAGCGCACTGATTAGAAACTCGGTAGTTGGTTCATCGTTGAAGGCATGAGATAGAAGTTTCACATATCATGTAGTGTGCCTGAGAAATATCAAGATAATTATTGAGAAATATCAAGATAGACTTATTGGTGGCCTGCAGGAATTAACGCCACATTAGTTGGACCTTTCACAACCAGAGCCTTAAACATCATGCTTTCGGTTATCCAAATGCCATGCCCAGGTAACAAATGATTCTGACTTTGATGCAAAAATCAATGGTAATCCAATCCTGAGTTCCCTGCCAGCACAATTCCAATCCGGACAATCAAATAGCAACCATGTTAGCCGAAATGAATTAAGCACACATCTTTGCCTATAGTCTTGCAACCCTAACACGCTAATACAGATCGCCCTTTGCTTCTAATGCGAGTCCATTAACCGCTAGTCTAACGTATACTCTGTCACAGTATGTTGTGCTATTATTAAGACTGAGGGCGCTGAACTCACATGAGTTCTTCACTCCGGTTAATGTTTTCTTCATACATTTAACCTAGTTGGTTATTCCTTAATGTATGAACTCAATTTCAGATCAATCACGGTTACTGCAATGGCCACCCCTTGATTTTTTTCTTTCTCCTAATCAGGGACTTAAAAGCTCGTGATTATCTATCATCGCAAATTTCCGATGGATCATATTTTCTTTCTCCTAATCAGGGACTTAAAAGCTCGTGATTATCTATCATCGCAAATTTCCGATGGATCATAATCCTCATCAGAAGCAATCGTGATTATCTATCATCGCAAATTTCCGATGGATCATAATCCTCATCAGAAGCAACATCCCATGCAGCCTCTTACCTTTTTCTTGGTAGAAAGTCGGTTTGTCTTTTTTTACTGGTAAAATCCCCGCATTATTGGTCATGCAATTTGAGCTCGAGCAGAAACAATGGATGTACGTATGTCTTGACATTTAGATCTTCTAGATTTAAACCTATTTCACTAAAATTTTAGCGAAAATTCAGACACAATTAAACTTCGAATAAAACTGAAAAAACCACGATATAAAACGCGTCTACACCTCTCACATTGGCTCTTCCCCAAAATTAAAAAAAAAAATGAAAAAAAACCATACACTTGGTTTTCAATCTCCATCTCCCTAATCTGCAACCAATTTCAAGTAAATAGGATCATTCTTAGCCATCTCCGTAACCCACAAAGCCTCCTCCTTTAACAACAGTCTCATTAGGAGCAATAAGCAAGTTTCAACCATCCTACACTTCCTGCATCTCCTTGATAAGCGCACTTTAAGCTCGAGCACAAGATCTTCTAATAGAACTCATTCCACTACGAGTTTAGCAAAATTTCAGGTACAAATCAAAACTCTGCACACGAACATCAAGACAACATCAGAAAACCCATCTGCATCCCTCACACGGATCCGGTCCTTCCCCAAATGTTAATTAAAAAAAGTGAGAGTGAGAGTGAGAGAGAGAGAGAGAAGCTCATACCTCTAAGCAGCGAACTCCTTCAAGAAACTAGGATCCCTCTTGGCCCTCTCCTGAAACTTCTTAAACCAGCGATCCAAAATATCCGTAGGCACGACCAACCTGCTCCCATCCACCCCGCAAAACGACTGCATAAAATTGAACAGGTTCTCGCCAACCTTCATCGCCATCCTCTCAATCCTCGCCTCCGCCCCCGCGTCGGAGACCGGCGGAGGCGCACGCGATGTCCTCGACCGAGACCCGATCCTCGCAGAGGCCACGCCTCGTCGGCGCCCGGGGACGGCGAGCGGCGAGGCGTGTCGGCGGGTCGGGCCAAGGCGAGGGAGAGCGAGGCGGAGGCGGCGGGAGAGGGTGGAAACGGCCGCCGCCAGAAGAGACGAAGGAGGGTGAGGCCCGGGGGGTGGATGTAGAACGGCAGGCTTTGGATGATGGAAGGAGCAGGCGGCGCGAGGGGAGGAGGAAGATGCAATAGGGTCTTGACTTGGTGGTAGGAGTCGCCGGCGAGGTGGTTTATGTCGAGGAGGTAGTGGAGGGGGTCGATCTGGGTGAAGGATGAGGGGTCGAGGGGGAAGCTGCGATCTGGGAACACTACTCCGAACATTTTTAGTTTTTTTTTTAATTTTTAATTTATTTTTTTTCAAATGGGAGATTTGATCGTGAGAAGGAATCGACGGAGGAGAAAGGGTTTTTGGGGTTTTGCGGGAGGAAGAGAGGGGAACGGTCTGGAAATGTCGAGAAGGGTCCAGAGGGAGATCACAGTTTGGGAAGAGCTTTACTACGGGGAGCCAAAATATGGGACCAATAAAGGGGACAAGTGAGGTG